AAATTTTTGGCAAAATTTGCCTGAAATTTGTGGATTTCGCCCCGAAACAGAGCCGGGCTGGGAAAATGACCTCTGGAAATTCCCCAAATTCCCGTTTTTTGCCCCGGCAGCCGAGGAGATCGCCATCAGCTGGCCGCGGATCACCGCCTTCGCCGAATCGCACCGGAGACGCGGCCTGGGCACCGGTGAGTCCACGGCGGCCAACGGGCCGGGCCAAGGGCGGTGGGTCTTCCATTGGCCAATGCGACCCGAGGTGGGCTCGGGCTCTTCCAGTTGGCCAACGTGACCCAAGGTGGGCTCGGGCTCTTCCAGTTGGCCAACGCAAACAAGAGAGGCTTTAGATGTTCCAGTTGGCCAACGCGACCCGAGGTGGGCTCGGGCTCTTCCAGTTGGCCAACGCAACCAAAGGAGACTTTGGATGTTCCAGTTGGCCTCCCAAGATCCGCAAAACCTCCCAAAATCCCCCCAAAATCCCCAAATCCCATCAAGATCCCCAAGGCTCCCCAAGACCCCAAACCCCTCCAAGATTCCCAAAAACTCCTCCAAGACCCCAAATCCCCAAATCCCCCCAAAATCCCCAAACCCCTCCAAGACCCCAAATCCCCCCAAAATTCCCAAACCCCTCCAAGACCCCAAACCCCCCAGATTTCCCCTTCTCCCCCTCCAGACGCCGCCCCGGCCTCGCTGAGCGGCAACGAGGAGGAAGAGCCGCCGCCGGAGCCTTTGGACAAAGCCGAAATCCCGGGATCGCCGCCGGCACCGAGCCCCGGATCCCCGGCGAGCCCTGCCCGCTCCAAACCCGGCTCCGCCGAGGCGCCGAGCCCGGAGCCCCGCTCCCGAAAAGCGCCGGGAAAACGCCAAGGGAAATCCGGCGGCGGCCGCGGCTTCGAGAAATTCCCCCCGCGGAACCTCCGGTGCCACGACTGCGGCAAATCGTTGGCGCTGCCGAAACGCCGGCGGGCGGCGGAGCGGCCCCGCGGGTGCCCGGCGTGCGGGAAGAGTGTCCGGCTGGGCTCCGGCTTGGTCGCCCACCAACGGCGGCACTCGGGGGAGAATCCCTCCAAGTGCCCGGACTGCGGGAAATCCTTCGGCGCCGGCTCGGCCTTCGCCCGGCAGCGGCGCGTCCACGCCGGCGCCGCGCCGTGCCGCTGCGGCGTCTGCGGGAAGAGCTTCCCGGCCGGCTCGGCGTTGCTGAAGCACCAGAAGCTTCACCTGGAGGAGAAGCCCTACAAGTGCGGCGACTGCGGCAAAGGCTTCAACTGGAACTCGCACCTGGAGCGGCACCGCCGCATCCACACCGGCGAGAAGCCCTACGAGTGCCCCGAGTGCGGCAAGAGCTTCTCCTGGAGCTCGCACCTGGAGCGGCACCGCCGAACGCACTCCGCGGCCCGGCCCGCCGGCCGCTGCGCCGGCTGCGGGGCGGCGGCGCCGGGGCCGCCGGAGCGCGGGGCGCCTAAAACGCCCAAAAACCCCAAAGCGCCCAAAAGCCGGCGGGAGCCGGCGGAGGAACCGCACCACGAGTGCGCCGAACGCGGGAAGGGGCTCGGCCTGGCGGCGGCGTTGGCGCAGCACCGGCGCGGCCACGCTCCCGGCAAACCCTACGAGTGCCGGGAATGCGGGAAAAGCTTCTCCTGGAGTTCCCACCTGGATCGGCACCGGCGCATCCACATGGGGGAGAAACCGTTCCGCTGCGGCAGCTGCGGCAAGAGCTTCTCCCAGAGCTCCCACCTGGAGCGGCACCAGAAAATCCACCGGGAGCCGTGCCGGGAATGCGGCGAGGCCGGCGGGACGGAGGGTGGGAAGAGGCTCCAGAAACGCCGCCGCGCTTCGGGGGAGCCGCGCGGCGACTGCGGCGCGGGGGCGGCGCGGGAGGAGAAATGCGGCGAGTGCGGGAGAAACCCGGGGCCGGGTGTGGGGCCGGGTGTGGGGCCGGGTGTGGCGTCGAACGCCGGGAATTTGAAGGATCAAGGCACGCAGACCGGCGAGAAGCCGCACGCGTGCCCGGAGTGCGGGAAGAGCTTCGCGCAAAGCTCGGCGCTGGCCAAGCACCGCCGGCTGCACACGGGCGAGAAGCCGCACGCGTGCCCCGAGTGCGGGAAGAGCTTCGGCGTGCGCTCCAACCTGGTCAAGCACCGCCGCACGCACCTGGGCGAGAAGCCCTACAAGTGCCCCGAGTGCGCCAAGGGCTTCATCCAGAAATCCGACCTGACCAAGCACCGCCGCATGCACACGGGCGAGAAGCCGTACGCGTGCCGCGAGTGCGGCAAGCGCTTCAGCGTCTCCTCCAACCTCATCAAGCACCGCCGCATCCACCTGGGCGAGAAACCCTTCCAGTGCGCCGAGTGCGGCAAGAGCTTCATCCAGCGCTCCGAGCTCACCATCCACCGCCGCGTCCACACCGGCGAGAAGCCCTACGCGTGCCGCGAGTGCGGCAAGAGCTTCAGCCGCAGCTCGCACCTCAACCGGCACCGGCGCACCCACGGCAAGGCCGCCGCCGCCGCCGCCGCCGCCTCCTCCTCCTCCTCCTCCTCCTCCTNCGCCGCCGCCACCGCCTCCTCCTCCTCCTCCTCCTCCTCCTCCTCCTCCTCCTCCGCGCTGCCGGCCGCGCCCGCTCTGCCCTTCCCGGCCTTCCCGGGCTCCTCGGCCGTGCCGGCGGCGCTGGAGCTGCCCTGGGCGCTGGCGCTGCCGGGCCGGGCGTTCCCGGGCTTCCCGGTGGGTAATTAGCGCCGTGGTTAATGAGGGCCGGGGCCCGTTGGGTAATTAAGGGCGAGGCGGGGCGTCGGCGCGGTTCCGCTCGGTTCCCGGCGCTGCCGGTGCCCAACGGGGCTTGGCCAACCCGAGACACAACGTTGGGTTTTTCTGTTTGTTCCCGTTCCAATTTGGTGCCCAATTAACGATCCCTAATTAATTGGAGGTGATTTAATTGATTAATTCCATGTGGGAATGGGGAATTCCCATCACTGCAGGGCTCCGGTCGGTTCCCGGCGCTGCCGGTGCCCAACGGGGCTTGGCCAACCCAAGACCCAACGTTGGGTTTGGTCTCTCTTTGTTCCTGTTCCAATTCGGTGCACAATTAACGATCCCTAATTAATTGGAGGTGATTTAATTGATTAATTCCATGTGGGAATGGGGAATTCCCACCATTGCACGGCTCCGGTCGGTTCCCGGCGCTGCCGGTGCCCAACGGGGCTTGGCCAACCCAAGACCCAACGTTGGGTTGGTGCCTTTGAATTTTCACGGCAAATGAACAACCTCGAATTAATTAGGGGATGATTAATTGGCTAATTAATGATGGCGGGGGGAGTTCCCATCATTCCCATAATTCCCAGTGCTCCCAGTGACCAACTGGGATTTGTTGATCCCAAAATCCGACATCAGCGCCGTCGTTTTCCCGTAATTCCGCAGGAATTTTTGGGAATTTTTTGGGAATTAAAAAAAAATTTTTTGGGGAATTGAAAAAAATATTTTTTTTTAATTTTAAAAAATTTTTTGGGAAGTTTTTGATTTTTTTAGGGATTTTTTTTTTTTAATTTAATTTTTTTTAGGAACATTTTGGGAATTTTTAAATTTTTTTGGGGGAATATTTTAGAAATTTTTGGGGGAATTTTTTATCTTTTCCCGATTTTTCCATTCGTGTTCATGGTGAATTTTTTGGGATTTTTTTATTTCTGGAATGGGGTGGGAAAAATTCTGGGGGGGTGGGAAAAACGGGAATGCGGGAGGGAAAAATGAGGAAAATGGAAAATGGATTTTAGGAAAAGAAGAAATCCCAAGAAAGGGGAGAAAAAAGGAAAATATTCCAGGAAAGAAATGGAATTCAGGGGTAGGAAATGGAATTTTTTTATGCCTGAAAAGGAGGAAAAATCGGGAATTGCGAAGATTTCTGTGGAAAATGGAGAAAAATTCCGGAGATTTTTTGGGAGGGATTTGTTGGCTTGGTGGGAAATGGGGAAAAATGGGGAAATGTGGGAAAACTATGGGAAAAATGTGGGAAAATAATGGGAAACATGGAAAAATGTGGGAAAGATAATGGAAAAATAAAGGGAAAATGGGAAAATATGGGAAAATAATGAAAAATTGTGGGAAAATATGGAAAAAATGTGGCAAAATGTGGAAAATAATGGAAAAATTATTGAAAAATAAAGGAAACATAAAGGAAAAATGTGAAAAAATGTGGGAAAATGTAAAAATGGTTAAACTTGGGAAAAATATGGGAAAATGTGGAAAAATGATGGAAAAATAAAGGAAAAATGATGGAAAAATAAAGGAAAAAATGATGGAAAAATAATGGGGAAATGATGGAAAAATGGAAAGAAAAGGGGGGTTAAACATTGAAAAATTTGGGAAAAATGTAGGAATCCTCCCAAAATCCCGGGAAATTCCGGAATTTCCGAGGTGGCGACCAAGCCGAATTTTTGTTTTTCCAGGAAAAATTTGGGAATTTTCTCCCAGAGCCTTTTCCAGGAGTCGAAATAAATGAGGAATTCCCAGATTTTCCTGCCTGGAATTTTCCTTGTCCGTGGAGCCGGGCCTGGGGAAATTCCCGAGGCTTGGGGGGGGGTTCCCCAATTTCTGGGAATGTTCCGAATTTTTGGGGGGCTTTCACCATTTATTGCGAGTTTTTCCTTTTTTGGATGGAAATTCCCATTTTTGGGTGCCTATTACCAGTTTGGGGTGGATATTCCCTTTTTGGGGAGATTTTGGATTGGTATTTTCATCTCTGGGGGGAGTTTTCCCATTTTTTGGTGGATTTTTCCCATTTTTATTTTAGGTTTTCCCACCTTTATTGGGGGAAAAATTTCCCTTTTTTTTAGATTTTCCTCCTTTTTTTGGGGGAGTTTTCCTGGGAGCAAAAATTGGGATAAAAATAATCCCCAAAAAAACGGGAAAATCCCCAAAAATAAAGAGGAAAACACCAAAAAGTTTTCCCCAAAAAGGGGAATAATCCCCCCTAAAAAAAATCCTTGGATGAAGCGAGAAAAACCTTGGGAATGTCGAGGTAAGAAAAGCAGGAATTACAAGAAGAAGGAATTTTATTGTTATCAACAATTTCCCGGGATTTCCCCCTCCCCGAATTCCCAAATTCCTGAAATTTCCCGGAATTCTGGCGGAGCTGGGGGAGGATTTTGGGGATTTTTTGGGATTTTTGGGATGTGAAATCCATGGGAATTCCCGGGGCTGCCTCGAACTGGGGGATTCTCATCACAACCCCTCCCAAAAAATTCCGGAATTCCCAAAATTCCCGGAATTCCCAAAAATTCCTGACCCCCCCCCCCCCTTAGTGCAATTGGGCTCCTCTCTTGGTTTTGGGGTGGGAAAAGGGGAATTAGCCCAAAAGAAATTTGGGAATTCTGGGGGGAAACGGGGAATTTTGGGGGGTGGGAGTCCCAAAAAATCCGAAATTCCAGGAATTCCCAAAAAAATCTCAAACTCCAGGGATTTATTCCCAAAAATTCCCAAATTTCAGGGATTTATTCCCCAAAAAAATCTCAAATTCCAAGGATTTAACTCCAAATCCCCAAAATTCCGAGGATTTATCCCTGAAATTCCAGAGATTTATTCCCAAAAAACCCCCACATTCCTGGGGATTTAACCCCCAGATTTCCTGGATTTATCCCCAAAATCCTCTCCAGGAATTCCATTGGAATTTTTTGGTTATTCCAGAGTCCAAAACTTTTTTTTTTTAAATTTCCTGGAATTTTTCAGGATTTCTTTGGAATTTTGAGGGGATTTCCAGGATTTTGGGGCACTTTTTTTTTTTTCGATAATTTGTGGGGATTTTTCAGGATTTCCTGAGGATTCCATGGGATTTTTTGGGAATTTTTGGGATCTCTTGTGACCTTTTGGGATTTCCTTGGAATTTTGTGGGACTTCCTCAGGATTTTGTGGGGTTTCCTTGGAACTTTCTGGGATTTCCCAGGACTTTGTGGAATTTCTTTGGGGATTTTTTAGGATTTTGTTGGATTCCCCCGGGACTTTTCAGGATTGTGTGGGATTTCCATGGGATTTTTTTTGATTTCCTTGGAATTCTGTGGGATTTTCACGAGACTTTCCAGAATTTGGTGGGATTTCCTTAGGATTTCCCAGGATTTTGTGGGATTTCTTTGGGATTTGCTGGGATTTTTCCAGATTTCCCGGGATTTCCTTGGAATTTTTGGGGATTTCCTGGGATTTTTTTGGATTCCCCGGGGTTTTTGGTGAACTCCCTTGGGATTCTTGGGGAATTCCCGGATTTGCTCCCGGCTCTCAGAGGCTGACGCTCCGGTGGTGCCGGAAATTCCGGCGCCGCTCCCGGCCCTCGCCCAGCTCCTCGCTGTGCAGGCTCAGCGCGTCCGGAATTCCCGAAATTCCCGGAATTCCCGCCAGGTGCTCCACGGAGTCGAATTTCTGCAGGTCGGAGGCGATGCTCTGCAGGCTCAGCAGCGACAGCGAATCCCCGGATGGCGACGCTTCCCGCGGAATTCCGGGAATTTCCCCGGGAATTCCGCACGTTCCGGCCAGGATTCCGTCGGGAATTCCGGGAATTTCACCCAAAATTCGGAGGTTTTCCCCCAGAATTCCCGGAATTCTGCTCGTCCTGGCCGGGGTTTCGTCAGGAATTCCGGGAATTTCCCCCCGAATTCCGGGAATTCTGCTCGTCCTGGCCGGGGTTTCGTCAGGAATTCCGGGAATTTCACTCGGAATTCCGGGAATTCTGCTCGTTCTGGCTGGGGTTTCGCTGGAATTTTCCCTGGGAATTCCTGTCGGAATTCCAAGATTTTCGCACGGAATTCCAGGGATTCTTCCCATTCCAGATGAGGCCTCCCTGGGAAGATTTTCCTCAGGAATTCCGCCCGTTCCGGCCAGGATTTCTGCGGGAATTCCGGGGGTTTCGCCGGGAATCCGGGGGATCTCCACGGGACTTTTGGGGATGTCGCCGGGAATCCCGGGGCTTTTCCCGGGAATGCCGTGGATCTCGGCGCTCCGGGGGCCGCCCTCGGCTCCCAGGGGGCTCTCCCGGAGTTTTTTTTTCCGGAGGATCCTCTGGAGTCTCCGGGCGTGGATCTCCTCGCTGATCTGCTCCAGGTTCCGCAGGGCCACGGCGTAGCGCAGCTTGGCCTGGGAGACGGCGCATTCCAGGGAATTCACCCGGGATTTGTCCTCCTGGAAAAGGGGCGGGCGGGAATGGCCGGAATTCCCGAGGGACGGGAAAGCCCCGCCGGGAAACGCGGAAATCCCAGCGGGAATCCCTCAAAGCTTGGGGAAAACCCGGGAAAAAACGAGCCGGAGCCCCAAAAACTCCCAGGAATTCCCAGTGCTCCCAGTTAAATCCAGTTCCCTCCCACTGCTCCCAGTGTCCGGCCAAACTGGGACTCCCAGTCCCTCCCAGTGCTCCCAGTCCATCCCAGTTCCCTCCCACTGCTCCCAGTCTCCGGCCAAACTGGGACTCCCAGGAATTCCCAGTGCTCCCAGTTAAATCCAGTTCCCTCCCACTGCTCCCAGTCTCCGGCCAAACTGGGACTCCCGGTCCTTCCCAGTGATCCCAGTCCATCCCAGTTTGATCCCAGTGCTCTTTAATCCCACTCCCAGTGCTCCCAGTCCATCCCAGTCCCTCCCCGTTCCCATTCCCAGTGCTCCCAGTTCCCTCCCAGTGCTCCCAGTTAAATCCAGTTCCCTCCCAGTGCTCTTTAATCGCACTTCCAGTGATCCCAGTGCTCCCAGTTCCATCCCAGTGCTCCCAGTTCCATCCCAGTGCTCCCAGCACTCCCAGTTCCCTCCCAGTTCTCCCAGTTCCCACTCCCAGCACTCCCAGTTCCCACTCCCAGCGCTCCCAGCGCTCCCAGTTCCCTCCCAGCGCCCCCAGTTTGCCCAGTACCTCGAGGCGCAGGTTGAACTGGGCCTTCAGCTCGAAGTAGGGCCGGCTGCGGGCGATGTCGCGCCGCAGGGATTTCTGCAGCCGCTGCACCTCGGCCTCGGCCTCCTGGCAGAGCCGCGTGGCGCGCCGGTGCTCCCGCTCGCTCCGCAGCCGCTCCTGCTCCGCCTCGTTCACCTGCCGGGCCCAGGCTGCCGCGATTCCCGTCGGGAAGGGCATTCCCGAAAACCCCCGCGGGAACCCGGCCGGAAACGGCGAGAAACGGCCGAAAAACGGCCGAAAACGGCGGAAAAACGGCCAAAAACGGCCGAAAAACGGCCGAAAAACGGCCAAAAACGGCGGAAAAACGGCCGAAAAACAGGTCGGGGTTTGGGATTTGGGAAGGGAGGAAATCCTGGACAATTTGTTGGGAATGAGGGAAATCCCTGGAAAATGTTTGGGAATGGAGGAAATCCCAACAAGAAAAGTGAAAAATGGGGAATTCCCAAAAGAAGGGCTCAGAAATGAGGGAATAGCCTCGAAAAAAACCCAAGAAAAATCCCAAAAAAGCTCCAAATTTTCTTTGACTCATTTAAAACCTTCTCCAGCCATCCCAAACTCCATCCCACCTTCTCCAAAGCTTGTTCCACCTTCTCCAATCCCCATCCCACCTTCTCCAAACCCCATCCCACCTTCTCCAAACCGTGTTCCACCTTCTCCAAACCTTCTCCAGCCATCCCAAACTCCATCCCACCTTCTCCAAACCTTGTTCCACCTTCTCCAATCCCCATCCCACCTTCCCCAAACCCCATCCCACCTTCTACAAATCCCATCCCACCTTCTCAAAACCCCATCCCACCTTCTCCAATCCCATTCCACCTTCTCCAAACCTTGTTCCACCTTCTCCAACCCCATCCCACCTTCTCCAAACCTTCTCCAACCCCACTCCCACCATCCCAAACCTCTCCAAGCCCCCCCGAAGCCATTCCCGGGTGTCCCACCTTCCTGGTGGCGTGGTTGAGCATCTCCTGCCAGGTGGGGTCCAGGCGGTTCTTGCCGGTGCCCATCCCCTGCTCGGCCACGAAGACCATCTCGCGCGCGGCGTTGTGCATGCCCACCGCCCGCTCGTAGCGCAGCGCCGCCCGCTGCGTCTCCTGCTGCGCCTGCAAGAGACGCCGGGCCGCGATTCCGGCGGTTCCGGCAATTCCGGGACTGCCC